CAATTATTTGAATGCATTCACCAATATATGATGTATTTTGTGGGGGCTGTTGTGTGATTCTTTCAAATCTTCTCTGATTCTTTTAATGCTCATAAACTCTTGGACAATAAAATTTCATCATATTGACTGATCATTTTGCATAACTTAACTTATACGGATTTTTAGTGTGAATTTTAAAATCTACTGCAGCTTGTTAAACCAGCGCCAAGAATTGCTATATTTGTTCTATAGGCAATTATTTGAATGCATTCACCAATATATGATGTATTTTGTGGGGGCTGTTGTGTGATTCTTTCAAATCTTCTCTGATTCTTTTAATGCTCATAAACTCTTGGACAATAAAATTTCACTGTCTTACCACAATTTCCCTATCCCATTGAGTAAATAAAAACCTAGCAAGGACAGAAAGTAACACTAGCCAACTAGTAATTTGAACTGGTATGTACTCTTTCTTATTCAGTAACATAACATTATCACAGCATGGACTCATGTTTTCTTCCAAATCTTAATGATCTGGCTTCCTCTTTGGAATCACTTAACATCCCAATGGCACAAACTGTATTGTCACTTGTCTTCATCTCTATGCATGAGATGAAGAAGTATGTAATGAATTTACATTCTTCTCAAGCTATTCTATTTTAATCACCTATTAATGAATGTGAGTCAGCAGTTGTGTAATGTAAACAATTGATAGAGAAGGTTACAGAGTCTAAATTGTTTGGGGAAATCCATATCAATGGCTAGCATAAATTAAAATTTTAAAAGGTTCTTTTAAATTGGAAAATAACTGTGACCTGCAAAATTATATGATATCTACAGACTGCAAGAAAATGAGAGATCAAATAATGTGTGAAAGCATGGGGAGTATCTCATTTATTGCCTAAGTCAGCAAAAGGCTGAGCAGGCACTGGTGCCCACTTGTTTCATATGTTGCCTTGGCTGTTTCCCCAGGAACTCCAATGGAATGGTCTCTGTCAGGATCTCTGTCCTAACAACACCTACTCTGTTATTCTTTCTTCTAGAGGACCAGATGTATTACCTGAGTCTTAATTGTCTATCATCTTTCCCATTATCCCTTTAGAACTTTGAGTCTAATTTACAGTATATTTTGTCATGAAATAGGATCAAAGCAAGTGTGGTACACATAGAGTTTTCACACACCTGATTTCTTCTATTTAAATTTTTAAGGGTTGGAGAAACCTGGAATCTCTTGATCTTACTACTTTTAAGAGTGCTTGTGCTTATTGAAAGATACATTTCCTCATCATCTCATGGGGATCCTGTGATTAAATTGGAACAGCAAATTTCATTAATACAAATAGGTAAGAAAGGGGGAAAAAAAACCATAATAAATAGTAGTTTTCAAATTACACTTTAAAATCCTCATATGGAAACTGAAAATAAATATTGCTGTGCTATTGGCCCCAAGAAGGTCTGAAATGGTATCTCTCAGAGGAGTGAACAATTCAGTTCAGCTTTAACTGAATGTGAAAATTTAAAACACAGCTTTTATGAGCTTAATCAGCTGCATTTCAGCAGAAGGCAACAATAATAGGCTACAATTCATGGGAAAAGATAATAGTATGGAACAGTATTCTTCTGCATTACTGCTTCTAGGGCATGAAGACTTGAAAATAAAATTTTAAGAGCCCCAAATATTTGCAATTGTTGTGCACACCTGAAGCCAAGGTCTGCTCATTTGTGTACCTGCTGAGAAGTGCTGTGTTCCATGTTCTTGTTTGTTTCCTCTGCAGAGCAGGCACAGCCTTCACTGTGAAAATATCCATCTGTGGTTGCAACATCTAGTGCACAAAAATGACTGAATTTGGCCATGGGACATTTTTCATTATGTTCCACTTCATATCATCTCCCTGCCCAGTACTCTTGATGTCTATGATGTCCAAACATACTGTGAGATTAATTTTTGGAGCATAGCTAGTAAAATGTATTTGTACCATTAACAATCAGTTATATTTTGAACCAATCTTCTTTGATAGCTTTCACTAAAATATATTCTTCCCATCCCTGAAAGTTTTCAAAGCCAGAGCTCTGGAGGGAGCTCTGAACAACCTGGTCTAGTGAAAGGTGTCCCTGACCACAGTAGAGGGTTGGAACCAGATGATCTTTAATGTTCCTTCCAATCTAAACCATTCTGTTTTTCTATGATACCACTATTAGTGTTGTATTATGACCACTTATCAATTTCCTTGTCAGAATCAAGATACTTCAGTGACCTTTTTTCTGACTTCTTCCTCCTTCCACCTTGAATTGATCATCAATTCCCAAATTACTTTCTCTGTGATGTTCTTAGATATTTTTTTTCCTAATTTGTATTCATGGAATCAGAGTAGAATATCATCCCTCAGCACCTGTTTTTTTTGTGCTTGAAGTAGAAGCAGGTAGTTTTTGCTAACTTCAGATCAGTCTACATTGTATTTGCCTTCAGACAAGAGGTATTTTTTTCCCCTAGCTTCTTCTTCTGTCTCCTTTTGTGCCATCCCTGATTTTTAATTGCTCTGTACAAACACATATTTCTAAATAATATTCTCAGAATGCGACTGTTTTTTTCATATAGTGTCTGCTGTTATTTTATTTTATTTACTTTTATTTACTTTATTTTATTACTTTATTTATCTGCTGGTGTTTTATTTAGAAATGTTACATTCATGTATATTTGCAGTGTATTGTACTGGTGAAATAAAATTTTATTTAATTGCATCAGTTACACAGTGTTGTGTACTATGATTGTGCTTAATTACACATAGTATTACAGTGAGTTCACTAAACTTATGGAAGACTGTAACAACATTTCTCTTTTAGATAACCAGTAAAGTAACTGAAGATTTTTTTTTTCTCCTTTCTGGAAAATGTTTACTTTTAGGTTTTAAGGACCAAATAATTTAGGCCTGGAAATTAAATTTTACTCAATATACATTGTAAAATGCGGGGAAGAGCATATGTATGCTGCCTAATTGTTGAACTTTTTTATTCCGTAATGTTCAATATTTATGCACATGAATGATAAACATTTAGGTGTTCCTAAAACTAATCATACTTATCAGTTTTTAGTTTCAGGTAGACTTGAACAACTATAATGCAGTTTTGAAGTTTCTGTAAAAGAATTTAAAATAATGTATTTCAAGAAATCACCTTATTACTGGAAACATAGTTTAATTGTTTTAATTAATCAAAATAACAGCAGTTAAAACAACCTTGTAATCTAGGTGATTAGATTGTATTTTAGAAAATGAGCTGGAAATTTTTGAATGAGAAAATGATGTTTCAAGTATGTACTTACATTTCAGAAGAACATTGACTGTACACAATGCAACTAATGTACCTTGTACCTGTTAAAAAAATGCAATCTATGCGTTTCAAGTAAATAAAAACAATCCAAAATTAATTAATATGTAACTGTAACTTGCCACTAAGTAAACATTTTCAGTATTTTGTTTAGAAAGGTAAATTTTTTCTTAACATTCTACTTTCAGAAGTTAAAATTTTCGGGCTATTAGCGGTAGTCTCCTTAGATTACAATACATGGTTTTGACAAGGACTTTAATAGTTTCTACTAACACAAACAGGGATTTATCATGCTGGAGTAATTAATGGTTGATTTAAAAATAAATCCCGGAAGTCTTCAAGTATTTTTTAGATCAAAAAAAGCGGGTTTTATCTGCTTTTTATTTAAAAAAAAATCACGTTAGATAGTTGGTATACTGTATGGATTAATTTTATACTATTTCTTTGTACTTTGAATGTCCTTCAATTAGCATTGAAGAATGAAGGAGGGGTAGAAATGTTCTTCTGGCACTTTTGATGCAGGATACATTTGAAAACCAACTGAAATTGGTTGCAGCATGTTCTTGACAGTGGGAATTATCCTTTGATAGCAAAATTGTGGGATGTCAGTGACACCTGCTCAGTATTTGTATGAGGAATTCAAAGAGCTTGTGACTGAAGCTGGTTCTGAAGTCTGCAAAACACATTGTCAACACATCTCTGCATGTTGTTTGGGGACAATATTGTAAACACTGGAGGAAACTCGGTGGTGATTCTTCTTTTCTTCTAAAAAGATGTTGCAGGTTGGTTGAAGCAGTTTAATGTTATATTGTGGTTTCAGGCTTTCCAGCTCATTCAGTTACATTCCATACAGAGACCTAGTTGACAATGTCTTTAATTTAAATGTTTTTATTCTAGGTATTAGGTATCTGTGATGAATGCACATTTTAGATTTACTAGGTTTCAAAAGCTTTTGGAGCTTATGCTTAAAAAGCAACATTTTTCTTCTAGTAATGGTAGGAATGATAGGTTCTACACATAATTCTCTTTGTATTGGACACTTGTGTCAGAAAGCTGGCAATGTTTGTTCAGATGGGGTCCATGAACTGCAGGGCTAAGCAGAAGCTTGTAATGAGTTAGTTGTCTCAGCCTGATTTTCTCTTTACTTTTACTAGGGACATTGTTGAATGTTTCAAGAAAACCTTGAACAATTATCAGAACTGATTTTGCATACTTGATTTTGCACCTAGGATACAAGGGTAGAGTAAATTATATTTCCAAAGCTCTTCCATCCCAAAGCTTCATCATTCCTTAAGGAAAGGAACTTCCTAAGAGTTTGATGACTTTGGAGGTTGGCAGTAAGTTGCTCTGAAATAATTTTGAGTTAAATCTTCTAGTTTATTTTATATCTTCTAATAAGAAAAAAAAAAAGAAAATTACATATTGTTTCAGAATTTAGAAATAATTTTGTCTGTATGCACCTCTCCTGGATTCTAAACAGCAGAATGAACAACACTGACCACAGAAATATGCCGTTGCTCAAATGAGTGTGCCAAAGTTTCAGTTCATTTACTGCAGGAGATTTTATTTTATTTTTTGCAAGCATAATTTGGAAGGGAGAGTCTAATATATGTGTCTAAAATCCAGTTGGGGATTTTTTGTTTTGTTTTTCATTCTAGTGCCCGAGTATTAATCTATTTCTTTATTCATTTTTATAGATTAAAAAAATCAACAGGAATTTTCCCGTAAACCAGCAGGTAAGAAAAAAGAACATTTGGGTTTTTTAAATTCATAATTCTAATTCTCACTTGAACTATTTTTAATTGTGTGGTAGCTGTTCATTATTCTACCTGAATAATTCTCAGTTGATTTTCTTTAGAGAATACCTTGGTGTTTTTATTTTCTCAACTCAAAGGGACTTGGAGTGTTTCATCAAAGTAAGAACATACCTAATCTTTTCAAATTAACCTATTTCATGCAGATATATATACTTTTCTTCAGCTTGTGACTTACCAGTTGTACTATAAAAGGGGAATTTTATCATTGTCCTTCACAGAATTAGCCAGAATAAATCAATGTTCCAAAACTCTGAAAATGTATGGTCTTTTTTTTTTTTCCCATTGACAAATGCAGGAATAAAAAAATTAATATCTACACTACTATTTAAACAAAATATGAATAAAAATTACCAAGGTAAAACTCAGTACACTGTACAGTTAAGTATGTATATGTTGTATATGACAACTATTAATTATATAATGATAATTTCCACACAAAGACTTGTTAAAAACTTGTTAAGGGGAAACAGAGCCACCTGATTCATAAGAAGGAAACAATTGCTTCCTCCTACAAGGAGAAAAATATGTATAGAACTGAGCTGTAAATTCACCGTCAAATGGACAGATTTGAGGAAGAAAAGTGCTTTCACGTCCCTTACACCAAATCTTTAGTTAGCCAACATATTTCCCAGTTCCCATTCTCTGGTCCAACTTTATTTACATGGAATTGCACTGAGTGTAACTCACGAAGGAGGGAGATACTACTATTTTGTTTTCTGTTTTCTTCATGAGAAGGTGCACAAATTTAATAAATGAATGAAAATTATATAATACTACTAATATTAATAATAACAACTATATGTGTAAGTATAAATGAAGCTACAATAGATGAAGTTAGCATTTGCATTTGGGAATTTTTGTAATAATTTGTAAAACATCAAATGCAGAGAGTCAAAGATATGCTTCTATCTCAAAAGAAGGAAGAAGATACTGCCTGATGAACAAAAAGCAGTTAATTGGTTCCATTTTCACTGTTATGATTCACCCTGAACTTACCTCTTTGCTTTCATTACTGTAAAAAATAAAGACAAAAAATATATAAAAAACAGTCAAAATGTCCCACCACTCTAACATATAATTTAGGGATCTCTGCTGTTTTGGAACCTTTGTCACATGGGGTCAACAAGGCATTTTATTCTTCATTAGAACTCCTGTGGAAAGCAAAAATATCTTTCCTGGCTTGAATAGCTTTTTGGCCATGCTCTCTGTCAGCACAGCCTGCAATTATAATACATTCATCTCTCATCAGCACCAATCATTATACTCCAAAGGAATTACTGTGGAGCACTTCAAGAAACTCAGTCAAAAGGTCAGACTGGAAAGAGAGGCTGATATGATTAGCAGTGAGACTGGGAAGGGCTTGTTGCCTGTTAAATACTGGAGAAGAAAAAGGTTTACTTATCTCTGGATGTCTGAAATTTTAGGGAACATTGAATTCAAAACCAGATTTCCTTTTTGTCTTACCTTGTCTAGAGAGGGTTATAGTTTTTTACCATAAAAGAATTTAAAACTCACCTAATTTAAATGAAATAAATAACATCTTTGAGTAGAGTCAGGAAAGGCTACAAAGATGTAAGGTTAATTTCTGTCTTCATGTGTAGCAAATATTAACATGGTATGCAGAGAAGAAACAGGAATCTTTACTTGTTATATCAACACATCATTTACCTCAAAATTAAAATACCATCTCAAATAGTCTCGTCATCTTGATGTTTTAAAATGAAATAAATTTTTATCTAAGTGGTTGAACAGCTAGTTTTAACTTCTTTCTGCAAGCACATCATGAACATGAAAGCTGTCTTCATCCTGTTATACTTTTTTTTTTTTTTAAAAGGTGTGTAATTTCACTTAACAAATACTCCAGGTTTTTTTAATGAGCACTAGCAGGGCAATTGAAGGTTATTTTCATGTAGAATTTTTATACGTACATATGTGGATTTTAATTAGTTTAGTAAAAAGGGAAGACACTTGTCAATCTAGAGTCAAGGAAACAATCCTTAGGATTCCTTCATAAAAATATTCTTGATATGGAGAAGACAATAGGAGCGCAGACAGACCCATTAGCATTACAATGAGGAAATACCTGCAAAGCTGTGTAAGATGCTGCAACTCCAGTAGTGTTATCCAAACATCTCAATATTGCAGCAAGTTAAAAAGATAGAAGAAAAAGTAATTAGAAAAGACTTGTTGACTGTATATAATGTGGCAGCTTTCCTTTAATGTAGTAATTGTGAAAGTGGGCTTGTTTGGAAAATCGTTAGAAAGATAAGATATATTAATTAAAATTTAAAGATCAAAGGTGATAGGTATTGATAAGAAGGTGGTAATTATTTGAACAGTATGAAGCAATAGGAGGTGCTCAGAATGATGGTAGTAAATTTAATAGTGGTGGAAAGATAATGCAAAAAATGCTGAAAGAGGACACCACAGACAAAAAATTCGAAGAAGATTGTGGGACAAGAGGGAAATAGTTGACAGTGATGAAGAGAACACTTGAAATGGTAAAAAATATAAAATTAGTTGTGTTTTCTGTATTGGAACTGTATGCACTGGATGCAAATAGTAACATTTAAGAGTATAATAGCAAGTAGTTGAGAAAAAAAATTTGGACTCAAAGTATATTGAATATTTCAAATATGCACTCAGGAATATGATGTTGTTGACAAAATTTCCATAAATTCAGAGAAAAAATTGTATAGCAGAGAGGCACAAAGACTGGAATATTTCAAGGCTTCAGCCAGAGGCTTCTCTAGTTGATCAGCCAGCATGGGAGAGGAAACATGGGCATGTTTCCTTTTCTTGGAGCTCCTGACCTCTGTTGAGCTGTTACACTGATTACAGCAAATGTCAGCTCCTGCGAGAGCCATCATTAGGCCGGTGAGTTTTGAAAGGCAGCATCAACTCCCTGCTAGCTCTTTCCAAATGACAGGTCAGTAAACTGTCGTGGTGTAAAGAGGACAAGCACTGCCCATTCCTTTTCAATTCCCAACCATCTTTTCACTGTCCACCATGAATTTGCAAAAGTGCTGATCTTGGCTGAAAATTGACTTGATAGCATCTAGAGAAATGAGCGTTAGGCAGTCCTTATAAAGCCTTCTGATCCTTTTCAGAGTGACAAACCAAATGTTGCCTCCAGCTACTAGGGATTTTACTACACATTATAACTCTCATTTTCTATTTGGGATTCATTGGGATTTGGCTTTTACTTGTTGCCATGCCAAGAGGATGAATTGGCAATATCTGGCTTAGGTACACAGTGGAATTCAATGTTTGGGTATAAATCTTAATCTGGCCTGCAGTTCACCTCTTCCTGTCCCTACATGAACAAGTAAGTAAAATGTTCATCAGCTGCAGCTGGGAAAGTCAAAACTTCACATGCATGTTCAGAAATGTAATAAATAGACACTTGCTTCTCTACTACATGGGCAACAGTCAAATCTAAGGTTTCAGGTGAAATGGATAAAAATATCATGGCAGAGGAGTGTATTTAAAACTTTCTTTTCCTATGTTGTATGTCTCATCTCTATTAGGATGAATACAAAGGGTATAACACTCCACCTTTCATATGCTGAATTCACCAAAAAAAGTATAATGGGGAAGATTGCTATAATTTTTTTTGAGCACTGTTTATTTTCTTTCCACAGGTAGCATGAGACTTTTTGAAATATTTTTATCTACAGAAGATAGGAAATTTTCATTAAATAGTTTTAGCTTTTAGAATAATGTGTCCCTCTAGAATGTTCCTGCTTTATGGGAAAAAAATTGGTAGCTGGTCTGTTCAAAGTAGGCAGTTAATAATGAGAATCATGTGAGAATGAGAAACAGAGTTTAACTGTGTTTAACTCAGTTTTAGAACAAGACCATGGCATAATGAACTGGTCCCACACTAAGGCCAGAAACTGGGGTATCACTGTGCGTGTCAGATTCCACAGTCAAGACCCCTGTTTTGCAGTTAGTATTTTACATTCTTGATGGCCAAGAATGACGTGATAGGATACATCTGATGGCATTCAAAAATATACATGGTTATGCCTATTTTCTTTTGCTTCTTATATAAAGTAATATAAACAGCCATACTCATCTGTACCAGATCAGCTATGTTGTATCACCTCATATCCTGCTTTAATAGGGTGTTTGTTGTCCAGTTTTATTAAAGTTCTACAGTAAGAGCAATCTAATTTAAAATAATTTCTAAAAGTCTGACTTAGTGATTTTATTTAATAAAACCTAACTTATATTTACTATATAAAGGTGAGTGCACACAGATGTCAGGGTGACTGTCTTGCCTGTCAATCAAGCCAGTGTTCTTTGCTTAGAGATACAACACATAGAGATGTCTTGCATCTCTATTGCACCTGAAAAGATGAATTCCATTGCATTTCCATTCCAAGTGAATTGATAGGACTGATAGAACATCTATTCTACTGATAAACACCTGTGTGAAATAGAACACATACCTTTCTTTCTCTTTCTTACTAATTGCAGAGTAATGGGCTCCATTGCTATTGTATTGGTATTTTTAAAATGCAATGATTAACCAGAGAGTTCTGAAATATGACATGTCCTCAAAAGAAAAGTCTGTTCTAGAAGTACATTAAGAGCAATGAGTTTTTTCTCCTCCCCTTAGTGTATTCTCTTTTTTTTTTTTTTTGTCTTCCTAATTTTGCCTGTCTTTTGAATTAATTATTTTCAAGTATTCTGTTCTGTGGTACCTCAGAGTAGCCATCCTGCAGCTCTTGACTGACAGTTACTGAACTTTCAGATGCAATGATGCATCTGCTCTGTCAACATCTGTTGTCACAGTAAGGATTTGATCAAGTTTATTTTGAAGGAAAATCTCTGGAATGAAGCTTCTATTGTTAAATGATTATAGAAACACACAGGGGAAGCGGAGTTCTTGCTGTTAAATTAAGCAGAAG